GAGGGCCTGGCTCTGCTCCTGCCGTCCCCGGCGCCCCCGGCTGATGCCACTTGGTGCTCGCCGGCCGCGCACGATGCACCTGCCCCCGGGACCCGGGCCGGAGTCTGGAGGCCCAGCCACGCGGGGAGGCGATCCTTTGGGCACTGGGGTCGGGGATGGGGGTTCTGCGCGCTGGGGGCGTAGGTGGAGGACGTCTACGGTGAACGGCTGCCTTCGCCCCCCGCATGGGTCCCTTTTGCGGCCGCTGCATTCGCTGCCAGTGTCGGGAGAGGAAGGCGAGTTTCGAAATCAGGGCCGCCCCTCCACCCACACCGGAACTAGGGTGCAGGCCTCAGCCAGCTTAGTTCCGGCCCTTGGTTGCTGGAGGCCCCGCCTGGGGTCTCTGATCCTGGTGTTGCTGGGTGGTGCGGCTCACCCAGGGCTGCCCCTCTGGTGCTGCTTTCCCTACTTGTAAAATGACTACATAGATTGATCTAGAAGTGCCGTCTTGCTTGAGGGTCACCATCTGCTCAAGGTCGTCCCCATTTCTCAGTCCTTGGGCTAGGAGGCCTGATGGCCATTTTTACCCGGCCTTCTCAATGGAGCCAGGTGGCTCTTCTGCCATCTGGGATGATTTGTCACCCCCGTCTATGGTGTCATCTGTGAGGGCCTGGGGCTGTCACATCAGCTCTGCTGGCCACCCTTGCTGCAGCCCTCCCAGGCCCACCTTCTCAGAAAGGTCGTCCCTTTCTCGAGCTTTCTTCAAACCCTGTCTGACAGGCTTTCTCAGGCCCAGCCTCTCCCGGGTGCAGCTTTGAACACAGCTCCTCTCCAGCCCTTAATTCCATGGCCATGCCTTCTCATCCCTTTTCCAAAGGCCCTCCTCTCCCTTCCTGACCTCCAGGTAAGGCTTCTCCGTGGCTGAGAGTCTGTCTGTTCTCACCACCCCTCTGATGTCACCTCCCGGCCTGCATTTCAGCTTCCTCTGGGATATCTCTGGCCCCCAGGGCACCTGAAGCCAATTCCAGCCACACTTACCCTCTTCCCCTTAGACCTCCCACCTCACTCATCTCCAAGTCTGGCCCGTTCCTGGTGGAGGCATTGGAAGTATGTCCTTCCCAGCCAGTCTCTCTTTTTTTTTTTTTTGAGTTGGAATCTCACTCTGTCGCCCAGATTGGAGTGCAGCGGCACGCTCCTGGCCACTGCAGCCTCGATCTGCTGGGCTCCCGTGATCCTTCCACCTCAACCTTCCAAGTAGCTGGAACCACAGGCACGTGCTACCAAGCCCGGCCAATTTAAAAAAAAATTTTATTTATCGTAGAGACAAGGTCTCGCCAAGTTGCCCGGGCTGGTCTCGAACCCGCAGGCTCTGACAGTCCACTCGCCTCAGCCTCCCGAAAGTGCTGGGATTACAGGCTGAGCCACCAAGCCCGGCCACCAGTCTCTTTTTATATCTTCCTCTACCATCGCCATCACGAGGACATCTGTTCCCTGGGTGGGACCAGTCCTCAGCCGTCTCTTGCGCCCTGTCCTTTCCTCCCTGCCTCCTGCACACTTTGTTTTAGAGCCAGCTCTCATCACCCCCACCCCCTTTGAAAGTCTTCAAAGCCCGGGCTTGGTGGCTCAGTTAGTCATCCCAGCGCTTTGGGAAGCCGAGGTGAGTGGATTGCCTGAGCCTGCGGGTTCGAGACCAGCCCAGGCAACTTGGTGAGACCTTGTCTCTACAATAAATCAAACATTAGCTGGGTGTGGTAGCGTGCACCTGTAGTTCTGGCTACTTGGAAGGCTGAGGCAGAAGGATAGCTGGAGCCCAGGGGGTCGGTGCTGGGGTGGCCGTGAGCATGCCACTGCCCTCCAGCCTGGGTGACGGAATGAGACGCCAACTCAAAAAAAGAGAAAATCTTCAAGGATTCCCCAGAGCCTGACTCAGCTCAGAGTCCATGTCCCTTCTCATCTTCATTCTGCAGTCCCTGGGCACACACCTGGCTCCGTGCTAAGGTGAAGCCTGGCATTCAGGGCCTCGCAGGCATGGTTCTTTTCCATGGAGCTCCACTTCCCATAGAGCTCCAGCCAGCCCGAGTCACTCCTGAGTGCCTGGCCCTTTCCTGCATCAGAAATGTCCTCCCTAGCCAGGCTCAGTGGCTCAGGCTGTAATCCCAGAGCTTTGGGAAGCTGAGGTGAGTGGATTGCCTGAGGCTGCGGGTTCGAGACCAGCCCTGGCAACTTGGTGAGACCTTGTCTACAATAAATCAAAAATTAGCCGGGTGTGGTAGCGTGTAACTGTAGTTCTGGCTACTTGGAAGGCTGAGGCGGAAGGACAGCCGGAGCCCAGGGGGTCTGAGGCAAGTGGATTGCCCGAGCCCACAGGTTTGAGACCAGCCCTGACAACTTGGCGAGACCTCATCTTTACAATAAATCAAAAATTAGCTGGACATGGTAGCGCATGCCTACCATGGTTGCGCCCTGTCCTTTCCTCCCTTTGTTTTAGAGCCAGCTCTCATCACCCCCATCACCTTTGAAAGTCTTCAAAGCCCGGGCTTGGTGGCTCAGTTAGTCATCCCAGCGCTTTGGGAAGCGCATGCCTGTAGTTCTGGCTACTTGGAAGGCTGAGGTGGAAGGATCGCCAGGGCCCAGCAGGTCGATGCTGGAGGGTTCGTGAGCATGCCACGGCACTCCAGCCTGGGTGACGGAGTGAGACTAACACACACACACACAAAAAATGTCCTCCCAGTCTCCCACCCCAATGCTGGAGGCCCATCTCAAAGGCCATTCATTGCCTCCAAAACTCTTCAACATTCAGCCCAGAGCGCCCTGCCCAGTGCCTTTCCTCTTTCCTCTCTGGCGCGCACCCAGCCTTGTCCAGAGGCTGCAGAGCCCTGTGTGGTGGGCAGCAACGCACACCTGCTCGACCACTCCCAGGGGCTTGCAGGCAAGGACATGGGGCAAAGGAAGCTGGATGGAAGCCAGATGTTGGGGGACCCCTTGGGCCTCAGGGACTCCTTCTGGCCTCCTAGAAGGGAGGCCAAAGCCAGAGAAGGCCAATGGCCCAAAGGCTGCTAGAGTGAACTAGAGGGCAGAGGTGCCTTGTGACTGTCCCTGGGGAGGGGGACTTAGCTCGGTGCCTGGTATGCAGGCTGAGATGGTCCCAGTCAGACCAAATGTGGCACCAAGCATGGCACGGCTGGCACCTCCTCCTGCTTACCTGGGCGGTGGACAGGAGATGCCCTCCTCTCCGCCAGGAAAAGGTGGGGGATGGGCACCGAAAGCCCCCAAGGGCCAGCTGGGAGGGGTGTGAGAGGGAGTGGACCTCTGGAAGCCTGCCATGGCAGCGGAGGGGACCCGGTGCCACCAATACCCTCCCTTATCAGGCCTCAGCCCAGCAGAGTCTGAAAAGTGGTCTCCAGGCACAAAAAGAATCAGACAGCCGAGGAGTCAGGCACCATTTTTTATAAAAAACGCATAGTCTCATTTTTCACTCTTTAAAATCACATTCAAAAATCGGCAAAGAAACGCCCCGGGGAGTGAGTAGACGGGAGGGGAGGGTGCGCCGACCCAGCCCCGGGGAGCGGGCGCGACACCACACACGGCAGCGCGACTGGCACGAGGGGGCATGCGGCGGGCGAGGTGACGCCCTTGGGTGGTGGCACTGACGGGACATGGGCTGTGGGGCTGGGCAGCCCGGGGGGGACACACTGACGGGCCTGGGGCAGGGAGGGCTGGCCCCAGCTGGGCCCCTCGCACCGTGCTGCCTGCCCACCAGCCGGCCCTGCCCTGGGCAAACAAGGCCTCGCCCAGCCCAGCATGGGGGGACCTTGGGGCCAGGCTAGGCCAGTGTGGCCCAATCTGCAGTTGCCTCTTTGTGGTCCCTGCGCCCGGGCGCTTGGCGTGGGGGGAAGGGGACCGCGGGGAGGGCAACAGCACCTGCTGCCAACACCGCCCTCCTGGCCGAACCCCAGTGTCCAGGGAGTGGGAATGGACGCAGCCAATGACATGGGGGCTTGTCCTGAACAGGAGCATAGGAGCCCACGTCACTGCGGGAGGCCTCAGGGGCCAGGGAGACAACAGGGCCTCTCCTCTCACCAGTGGCGAGAGGCAGGACAGCACCTGGCTCTGTCCCTCTGCTGCAGGAGGGGCCGTGGTGGGAAAATTCAAGTAGTATCCCTGTGCTGTGCCCTCCCCCTGGGAGGATGCTGGGCCACCCGGCAGTGCCCATAGGTGCAGGGCAGAGCCCACAGGCCCTGGACTGGCACAACGCGGTGTGCCATCAGCCCCCAGGGGAGGGGCGGGAGGGCTGCTGGGACCGCTGCTCGCCCCTCACAGGAAGACACCAGGAGTGGGCGGCCCCGGGGTCAGGACAGAGGGTGCTGGACAGTGGCTGGATTGGTGGCAGGAGGAGCCAAGGCAAGCGGGCCCCTCCCTGGGGGCTGGGCCAGGCTGGGGCCACAGGAAATCACAATAATTACAAAATAAAACCTTTTCCGCTTTGCGGGAAAACAAATAATAAAAATTCGACAAAATAAATTAGAGGTTTATAAAAGGCGGGCGGGCGGCGGGTCAGAGGCCGTTGGCACTGCCGCGCTGGACCAGCGGCACCTTGCTCAGCTCCACCACGGGCGAGCGCGGCTTGTTCTTCATCTTGGGCACCCGCTGCACCAGCTGCTGGGCCTCGCGGTAGGCATCGCGGAGCTCCTTCTTCCACTGCACCAGCTCGGGGTCGCTCTGCACCGCCCGTCAGGGGTCAGGGGTCAGCGGCGCTCAGCCCGCCCCGGCCCC